GTGCGGGGGCGGCTGTGCGACGCCTGCGCCTCCGGCACCTTCCACCTGAGCGCAGCCAACCCTGAGGGCTGCCTGCAGTGCTTCTGCATGGGTGTCTCGCGGCACTGCGCCAGCTCCGCGTGGAGCCGCCACCAGGTACCCCCACCGGGCCGGGCCAGGCCATATTGGGCCATTTGGGGCCATTTGGTGCCATGCTATGTCATATCGAGTATGCCGTGTCATGCCATGTCGTACCATGTAGTGCCATGCCGTGCCACATCATGTTGTGCCATGCCATGTTGTGCTGTGCCGTGCCATTATATGCCATGCTATGCCATGCTGTGCCATGTTGTGCCATACTATGCAATGTAGTGCCATGGTTTACCATGCCATGCTGTGTTGCGCTGTGCCATGTAGTGCCATGCCATGCTGTGCCATGCCACGTTGTGCTGTGCTGTCCCATTCCATGTCATGCTGTGCCATGTCGTGCCATGCCTCGCCATGCCATTCTGTGTCATCCTGTGCCATGTTGTGCCATGCTTTGCCATGCCATGCTGTGTCATGCCGTGCCACGTTGTGCCACGCTGTCCCATGCCATGTCATGCTGTGCCACATTGTGCCATGTTTTGCCATGCCATGCTGTGTCATGCTGTGCCACATCGTGCCATGCTGTCCCATGCCATGTCATGCTGTGCCACATTGTGCCATGTTTTGCCATGCCATGCTGTGTCATGCTGTGCCACATCGTGCCGGGCTGTAACACGCTGTGCCATGCTGCGCCATGCTGCGCCATGCCACGTAGCGCCGTGTTGCTCTACGCCATGCTGTGCCATGCCCAGCACCAAGCCCCTTCCCACTCTCTTTCCAGGTCCTCCTCACTGCTGAGGAGACGCCACCACTCAGCCTGGCCAACCTGGCCGGCACGCAGACGGTGGGCGACGGCGCCCGCTTCACATCCCCGCGGGAGCTGCTCTTCGCTGGCTTCCAGGCGCTGCCCCGTGACGTTTACTACTGGGTGCTGCCCGCGCCCTTCGCTGGGGACAAGGTGCCAGTGCTGGGGCTGGTAGGGGGACGTGGTGGACATCCCCAAGCCTGGCTGAGCCTTGCTGCACCCCACCCCGCAGGTGACATCGTACGGTGGTGAGCTGCGGTACACGGTGACGCACCGGGCACCAGCGGGCGCCCAACCTTTGCTGCGCCGGCCTGATGTCCTGCTGCAGGGCAATGGCATCCTCCTGGAGCACTTCTCTGATGCCAACCCTGCCTCCGGCGTCCCCACCACCGTCATTGTGCCCTTCCGTGAGGTGAGGACCGGCGGGGGGGCGCCCCCCCCCCCGGGGGGGGGGGGGGCGC